ACGTCTCCATATGCTGGTGGACCAGTCAATATAAGCCACTCTTCAAATGTGTAAGCTCTAATGTTAGGACAGAAACTAAGCAGTCCCTATTACACAAAGAGAGACCATCACTTATTCTGGACAGTACATTGGAGATAAAGAGCTTGAAACCGGTTCAATGGGGCATGTACAGTATTGTAGTGCGGTAAATAGACCTGGTAGTCTTCCTCTTTGTGTTTAACTGTGATTTGGTGGATGTCTCGAGATTTTCCAGAATGTGCTCAGCAACGCATCTCAGACAACACTTTCCAAACCCACGACCACTTCGATCTAGAAGGACAAGGGGCAGCAGATACATGGGATCACCACCCCCTGCAAGTTCCCCTCTGAGCCACTCATCATCCTGACTTGGAAATACATCGCTGTTCCTTCACTGTCGCTGGGTCAAAATCCTGGAATTCCCTCCCTAAGGGCATTGTGGGTCAACCCACAGCAGGTGGACTGCAGCGGTTCAAGGAGGCAGCTCACCACCACCTTCTCAAGGGGGCAATTAGGGACGACAAATTCTAGCCTGGACCAGTGATGGCAGATCTTGTGAAAGAATTTTTTAAAAAAGATCATTACTTAGAACATGGCTGGATAGACTCATAGAGTTATACAACATGGAAACAGACCCTTCGCTTCAACCCATCCATGCCGACCAGATATTCTGTATAAATTTAGTCCCATTTGCCTGCACCAGGCCCACATTCCTCCATTGTACACCCCCCTACCATACCCACCTAGATGCCCTCCAAATGCTCCAATCGTACCAGCTTCCACCACCTCCTCCGACAGCCCACTCCACACACGCACCACCCCCCTGCGCAAAACTGTCAAACCCCTTAGGTCCCCTTCACATCTTTCCCTCTCACCCCAAACCCATGCCCTCCAATTTTGGACTCCCCCACCCTATCAATGCCCCTCATGAATTTGTAAATCTCTATAAGGTCACCCCCTCAGCCTCCACGCTTCAGGGAAAACATTCCCGGTCTACTCAGCCTCTCCCTCCAGCTCAAACCCTCCAACCTCGGCAACATCCTTGTAAATCTTTTCTGAACCCTTTCAAGTTTCACAACATCCTTTCTATAGGAGGGAGGTCAAAATTGCATGCAATACTCCAAAAGTGGCTTAACCAATGTCCTGTACAGCCACAACATGACCTCCCAACCCCTATACTCAGTGCACTGACCAATAAAGGCAAGCGTACCAAACACCTTCTTCATTGTCCTATCCACCTGTGACTCCACTTTCAAGGAACTATGAACCTGAACTCCAAGGTTTCTTTGTTCAGCAACACTCCCCAGGACCTTACCATTAAGTGTATAAGTCCTGCCCTGATTTACCTTTCCAAAATGCAGCACCTCACATTTATATAATTTAAACTCCATCTGCCACTCCTTGGCCCGGTGGTGGATTCTTGGGATTAGAAGGATCAAAGCATATGTGAAGAAAACAAGAACAAGCTGGGTAAGGATAGGTTAGTTAAGGAGAGGCTGTTCCTGCTATGAGCGGAATAGGAATAAGAGGGGCATGGATGTAATGTGATGTGCAAATGAAGCAAGGCTGGTGTGTGAAAAAAACAACATTCTCGCCCAGTGAGTGCTTAGGGTCTGGAATACACTGCCTGGAAATGTAGGGGACATAGGTTCAACTGAGGCTATCTACAGGGGCACTGGATGGAAATCAGGCAGGAGATTGGCACTCAGTAATGGTGTCGTTTGAAGAGCCAGTACAGATTCAATGGGCTGAATGGTCACCTTCTGCACCGTAACAAATTTTCAGATTTATGTTTGACGCAAAATTTCCAAAGACCTCTGCTTAGTAGAACACATTATAGACAGAACATTTGGAATAATTGCCCCTAATGTTTAACAGGGATACCTACACATTTGCTGGCATCTCTCGGCAAACCCTGAGCAGAAAGCTAGTGCCTGTAAATGGGCTGTTTACTGACTTCACGTCAGGAGGTGTGGATTAGGCCCTGCATCTGGAGTAAGGCTCAAACTGGATATTGTGGTGGATCAGGGTGAGCCTTCGGAGTTAAACTGAGACCCACTTCACCAGTGATAACCCATAACATTGCTGTTAGATCACCAAGAGAGGATCCAGTCGCCTGGTGCAGATTCCAGCCCCGTGAGCAGATCCCAGCCCCTGGAGTGGAGCCCACCACTCAGTATAGATCTCAATATGTGGAATGGAACCCAACGACAGGAGTGGATCCCAGCCCTCCTGGAGTGGATTGCAGCACTCAGTGTAGATCTCAATACCTGGGATGGTTCCCAACAACTGGAGTGGATCCCAGCACCTGCAGTGAAACCTTCCACCTGAAGAGGATCTCAATGCCTGGAGTGGATCACATCACCTTGAGTAGATCCCTGTGCCTGACGCAAATCCTGTCATCTGGCCTGCATCCCATAACTGGAATGGACCCTTTCACCTGGAGTCAATCCCATCGCCAGAAGCAAACCCCAGAGTTGATCCCTGCCCCTGGAGGAGAACTGATCACTGTAAGTAGAGCCCCATACTCGGTGAGGATCCCAATACCTGGAGCATATTTCTTTACTTGGTGTGATTCCCTTCACTGGCAGTGGATCTCTTCACCTGGAGTGGATCTCTATACTTGGAACAAAATCCTGTGCCTGAAGCGAATTGCTTTGCCTTGAGTGGATTCCTGTGCATGGAGTAGATCCCACCAATCTGACTGGATCCCTGTACAAACTTGATCCTTATACCTTATAATCCGACCGTTTCACATGGAGTAGCCCCGCCTCTCCCCTTCACCTGATGTGGATCTCTTCACTAGAGTGGATCCCTGTAACTAGAAAGAACCTCTTCGCCAGGCGGACGTGGAGACGATCCCTTCATCTGCAACAGGCCCATCGTCCGCTGACAAAGTGGGAAGGTGAAGTGTGGGAATCCACTCCGATTGCAGGGATCCACTCCGGTGAGGTCAGGGGCCGGAATCAATCCTGGGCGCAGGGATCCAGCCCAGCTGCAGCAGGCGGGAATGTGGAGTCGGTGTCACCTCTGTCGCCAGGTGGGGTGGTCATTTTGAAAAAGGTGATGGAAGGTGATGGGAGCTAACAGCCTCAGTGCGTGTTTCCTCAAAGCGGGGAGAGAATGTAAAACATGTCAAACTGCTAAGAATCTGGAAGAATACCGAAAGGAACAGAGTGCAGTGTTACATCCTCAGGTTACCTTAGCTCCCTGGAGAAACAAAACAAAAGTCTTTCTTCGGGAAGAATCACTGCAAATATGTGTGTGTTTTTCTTCCCATTGTCTCTCAGAAAAAATAAAAGAAATGCATTGGCTGGGAGTCCAGAGAGAATACAAGCTGGTCAATACAACTGTTAGTAAAATAGAACGACTTTCCTGCCCTGTTTCTCTCTCTCTCTCTCTCCCTCGAAGGCCTCAGGCCTTGTAGCTACACAACTGACTTGGAGTAAAATCATTAAATGGATGAAGCGAGCCACACTGTTTGTGGAGGTGAGTGAGGGACTCAGTCTAGGTGACAGACAACCAAAAAACATTCCTCAGGCTGTCAGGGGCTGAGCTTTCAACTAATTCAGGTCAGAAAAGCCTTCTCTCTCTCTCTATTCGTCCAGAAATCCCCTTCAGCAATATCTAGGAGATAAAGGGCAGTGGTGGGGGTGGGGGACAAAGCAGATGTTTGAAGAATCAGGGGCAATCTGCTCCTATGATGCTGCTTGGCCTGCTGTGTTCATCCAGCCCTGCACCTTGTTGTCTCGCAATTACTCAGACACTTGTCTCCCTCAGTGAGTGAGTATCTGAGGGTGTGGCCTATTCCCCAGTGTTTCCTGTATCTGGAGCTGAACCTTTTGTGGAGGGCTCCAGACCCCGATGTTGGAAACCTGAGGGTACCTGGACCTTGCTGCTTCAGGGGTACCACTGATGGAGGGTTACACTTTCAGCTTTATGTTGGCTCTCATATCAGTCGTCCCTGTTCTCTCATTCCATAAGAGTCCGACCTCCTCCTGAAACATTACCTTTACTCCCATCTATTTAAAGTTTCAGTTTCCCTCCATTCCCCCTTCTGCAAATTGTGAGAAGTGGCTTCGAGCTACAAGTTTACTTTTCACAGGGTGTGGGCAATGCTGGTTGCCCCCTTGAGAAGGTGGGGGTGAGCTGCCTTCTTGAACCGCTGCAGTCCATGTGCTGTGGGTTGACCCACAATGCCCTTAGGGAGGGAATTCCAGGGTTTTGACCCAGGGACACTGAAGGAACGGTGATATATTTCCAAGTCAAGATAGTGAGTGGCTCGGAGGGGAACTTGCAGGGGGTGATGTTCCCATGCATCTGCTGCCCTTGTCCTTCTAGATGGAAGTGGTCGTGGGTTTGGAAAGTGCTGCCTGAGGATCTTTGGTGAATTTTTGCAGGGCATCTTGTAGATGGTACACACTGCTGCTACTGAGCGTCGGTGGTGGAGGGAGTGGGATGTTTGTGGATGTGGTGCCAACCAAGGGGGGGCTGCTTTGTCCTGGATGGTGTCGAGCTTCTTGAGTGTTGCTGGGGCTGCCCCCATCCAGGGCAAGTGGGGAGTATGATGTTAAATTTATAGAGTGTATTTTACAATCCAATTAGCTGTTAACATTTAAAGAGAATGTTCTATCATAAGATATTGATCTGGATTGCAAGTGGGGCCACTGAAGGAAGTGACATTGTGTTTAAGGTGGGAGTAGGTAGGTACATGAGTGGGAGAGGAGGGTAAGGAGAAGTGATGGGTTTTGGGACAGTGCGATGCAAGGTGGGTTCAGGTTTGTAGCAAAGCACAAACACAGCTACTTTGTAAATTCCATGTTTGTTGTGTTCTTCTTCCAGAGCGCAGCTGGACACCTCACAATAGCTGCGACATGGTAGCCACCTACTCAGCTTCCATGTTGAAAGCCACCATTTTAACCCAGTTGTATGGTATTTGAGGGAGGGCTTCACTTCGATAACCTGCTGTCTTTTCCTTTTAGGTTCATTAACGCAAGACGTCGTATTGTCCAGCCAATGATCGACCAATCAAATCGAACAGGTATCTGTTTTACTGATTGACTTTAAATGGCCCCTCATGGCTAAACAGGTCTGGACCGCAGGCTGTGGAAGGGGGTCATCTCTGCCAACTGCCCCTCTTCCGTGGTTCCATTCACGTTCGGGTGTCCTTGGAGAGGGAGCACACTGTGCCCATCAAAGCTCTCGATGTGTTTAGAGAGAGGTGGCCGCCATGGGGGCTGGAGAGCTTCATTTCCCCCTCCAACTCCATTTTGGTTCAGTCCCTTCCTCCTCCTTCCCTTCCCCACCCTCACCTTTGATGGTTTGTATTGTCCAGAATTGGCTTTGCTCATGAATATTCAGTTGGCAACACGGACGCCGGTGGTCAGAAGGTTAAAGAAAAAAACACAAACAGAAAAGAAAGTCACAGTGATTTTGGTGGTGGGATGATGGCTCAGTTCTGGGTGGCAACACTTCTGGGTAGGAAATGATAGTACAGAATAAATGACCGCTCGAGAAGGGCCATCAACGATACCTTGAGAAAAGTCCCCAAGAGGTGTTTGCCAGTGCACCATGTGACCCATCAATGAAATGGAGAAGGCCTCCCAGCCCACATTGGCATTGTAAACCCTGCCTACTGTTGACGGGACAGTAATGGTCAAAGGAGTATCGGCTACAGTTCTCTGCCTCCTCCTCCATAGCGCCAAAGCACCCACATCCATCACAGGACCCTCCCCAACAAGTTCTGTCAAACAAGAGAGGACACGTTAATCTACGGTCATCGCATCGAGAGCAACATTTGTCACATTAATATTCATTTGGAGTTCTCGGCCGAGTGGTATCACGGTATTTTTATATTGCTGGGTTGTTCCAGCAGCTGGGTACAATGTAGAGGGAGCCTGGTGGCAGAGAGGGTCCCCACCCGGGGTCCTGAAGGCCAAGGGTTTGATCGCCAACATCCTTCCCATGGCAACGCAGTGAGGATGGTACACCTTCCTGATCAGCCAGGACCGTGTGCTAGCTGGCAGTGGGACAGCCTTCCCAGTGGTAAAAGATTCCATGATCTTGCTGTGGGCTGTGTGATGGATATTACTGAGAATTTCTGACCAGGCCTACTGTTACACTGTAGGCCTGTGAACGGATTAGAATCCCCTAAGTGTCTTGTCTTAAAGACTGTGCCTCTTTCCTGTTGCTGTAACCCCACATTATAACCCTACAGGGGTACTCTCTCACCTCTGGGGCCCTCTCGCTAAATCCGCCATCAAAGATGGCTGCCTCATTGTATCGCCAATGGCAGATCAACCAAACTAAGGCAGATCTTAGAGAAGGCTTTTTATTTCGAAACGTCTTTCCAATGGCCATCTAACGTGCGAGTATGCACCTTGTGCAGTACCAAGAGAGTGCCAAGAGGTACCAGCTCTTCTTGGTCGACATGTATGACCCCCGCCCCGGCTGCTGGGTACCCTCGGCACTTTCTCACCAAACTACAGCTGGGTGTTTGCCCCCGTGCCACCATTCAACCTTCAACCGACGCTGTCTCACCTCACTGAATCGGTGAGCGGCTTGTGGGATCTTGCTGTGCGCAAGACAGAGACTGCCCAGCAGCGGCGCCCCTCGCTTGGAATGCCCCGTCCATGAGTTGGGGTGGGGCGTTTCATATCGAGTCAAGGGCAACGGATGGGGGCCACCTGTGCCTTGTCCTCATGCCGTTGTCGGGGGAGAAGCCATATTGGGTCGCCATTGACAGTGGGAGGACCCCCTTGGCAAGGGTCGATCTGATTGGCCAGGAAGACAGCAGAGCCCACTGACGGCCCGGTAGGATGTGTTGGCGTCTCCCTTTTGGCGAATGGCTGGCTCAGTTGGCAGCTATGGCCAATCCCACACCTTTGTTTCCAAAAGCAAAGAGGGGGCTGTCAGAGACATGGTACACTATTCCATTCTGATGGCCGTGCCATCAGTGGATCTCCTGCATTCTCAGCGTTGCCCCTTTCCCTAGGATCCTCTCCCAATCTGCCCTTGTTTCATACCCATTTAGTCATTCATGTTGGCGTCTGTTAGTCTGTACCAAATCCGTGATTTGAGGCCCACCCCCGAGTGAATTGTACCTTTCTCTCCTTTCACCAGTTGGCCAGGGGACACCCTACAGCCCAGACGGTCAGCCAATGGGAGGGTTTGTAATGGACGGCCAACAACACATGGGCATTCGACCTCCAGGTAATGTCAGCCTTTCGCTGAGACCTTCCTTTCCTCCCTTGCTTCCACCCCCCACCCCCAACACCGTCTCACCACCAACCACCTCAAGGGTGGAGGGAGACAACAACCTGTGATCTTTTGTTTTTGCTTGCTCTCCGCCATTTCACAAACATCTCGGGACCTCCCCACCTCGTTTTTGTTTCTCCTCGTAAAAGAGGCATCCCCTCATTTTCCGCTCGGGGCTATTCCTCGCTTCCTCCGTTTTCTTGCTGTCTTGTGATTCTGTCATTGGCGAATTCCTGGCTGGATTGTTTATCCTTCCTCCTAGGAGCTATGGGTGGAATGGGTATGAACATGGGCATGGAGGGGCAGTGGCACTACATGTAGCCTGCATCACTGTTACCCAATCGCAAAGCAGAGGGGAAGTAAGTACCGGCCCCCCCACCTCCTGGGGAGGGAGTGATTGTATTGTTTGTCTCCCCAGGCATTTCGCCCTCTCTCCCTCCTCTGCCATTCTACCCGTCTACCCCACCTCATTACAGGGCTAGATGTACCAAAGCTCCATTGTCCTCCTCCTGTCTTTACTTTTATGTGCGTCTAATGTCGTCACTTCCTCTGCGGCCCCCATTGCAACTTGTGAATAATGAGTCTCTCCCTCCCACTCTGTGCAGTTGGTCGGTAGGAACTAAGTGGGGGTCTGAGGGGAGAGGGGCTGAGGGAGCTGCGAGGGGAG